AAAAATAATAGTAACAATGTTGATATTGATGTAAGTATACCTGCTAATAAATTTCTGATAATATTTACAATGTATATTTGAATAATAAAAATATAGGTATAGTTATAGGTATTTTAATAATAATAATACACGTTRCCAATAATTTAATATTAGGCGAATTAGTAAGTAGCCAGAACTTAAGTATTATCCAAAATCTACCGGTTACCACTAGTTACAAATAAAAAACTATTATTGAAAATTTTATTTTTACAACACTTGGCCAGTGGTGGTGCGTCAAGGAAAACTTTGATTCGACGTTAACCCAATAAACATAAAATAAGAAAACGAATGAAACGGTCGATCGACAGTCGAGATAATATAGAATATGTAAATAAAAGTTATGGGTAGAGGGGAGTATAGCGATAATAGTATTTATATGGTATATATAGTAAGGTATATTATGTAAAACTATTATAGTAACTCACACATTCATACTTTAGTCATATAATAGTCCTGTCGCTATTACATGCAGCGTGCAAGTATATCCCTCTTACTGTTTCTCGATTACATTTTATATTGATATAGTTAAAGAATAATTTAGAGAGAACGTAATTAAACACTTTTGTAGATTACGTAAAAAATTATTTGTTCTCTATTTTTAAATTAATAGTTTTTATTATTTCAATGAAAAAAAAAAAACAACCGGCGTAGAATATTTCTAATTTGTATCATAAAATATAATATGATTACATATTTGAGGTACATAAATCGAGATAGGTACCTTGAGTCTCAGAGTATTCATTTTATAAGTGGTCGAGCACATCATGACCGTACAATGTGGGTTCATCACATGTGGCATCATCACAATCAAGTAGGCAACTAATATTTAATTTTTAGAAATAATAAAAGTATTCATACCTACATATAACTTTATAATAAAGAAACATGTTCTTGTATATGTATTGGATAATAATGGCTTTATATTTAAGTAGGTATATTATATCATGTCTTATGACAGTTTATTTCACAATTTATAAAATATAAAAGATGTAAGCCAGTCAGTACTCACAGTACATTTTTTTATATAATACAAACAACCAAATGCTTTTCCTGTGAAATAGAATCAAAACTAAAAATATGATAGGATATTTCTAATTAAAATTTTAATTAGTGATAATATAATCTGTAAACAATTACAAAAACAAAAAATATTAATTTTTGCGATTCACTAATTAGTAATTATACAGGGTGTCCTTTGACGATTTACCCATTGCGATATCTATCGAAATATTCGAAATAATGGTTATATCGAAATCTGGTTTTGTAATAAGACTCACAGGGATAAGAACAAAAATTATTTCAAGTTTTAATTTATTTTAATGTTTTGGTAAAAAAGTTGAAAAATATATTTTTTTATTTAATTATTTCCAAAAAAATTGACCAACGCAATTATAGAGTTTATTTTTCTGAAAATGTTGACGTTTCAACATTTTAATTTCATTAATTTCCAGATATTTAATATTTTTTTTAGTTTCAAGAAAAATTGCGAATTATTTAACACCGTATAATGTTATCAAACATGTGACCCGCGCGCATTCCAATACGGCCAGCCGAATACGTTTCGCGTTCCTAATAGTTATAATCATATTTTATTTCTTCAAAACTAGAAAAAATATAAAAAATCAGGAAATTAATGAAAATAAAGTTTTGTAACATTAATATTTTCAGAAAAATAAACTCTACAAAATTGCAATCTTTAATTTTTTTGGAAATAATTAAATAAAAAAATATATTTTTTACATGTT